ATAAATTGAACAGTGTTGGCTTCTTAAAAAACTATTTTTTATAAATCTAAAAGACGTAAAATTTAAAAAAAAAATTATATCTAAAAGACCTGAATTTTTTAAAAATATATTTTTTATGAATCTTAGGTTCGTGAATTTTTTTAAAAAATATATTTTATGAATCTAAAAGACGTGGATTTTTTAAAAAATATTATTTTTATGAATTTAAATGACTTGGATTTTTTAAAAAATATTTTTTATAAATCTAAATGACGTGGAATTTTTAAAAAAATATATATTTTATGAATCTAAGAGACGTGGATTTGTACAAAATAGTTTTTATGAATTTAAAATACGCGGGTTTTTAAAAAATATTTTTTATGAATCTAAAATACGCGGATTTTTAAAAAATATTTTTTTATGAATCTAGGAGACTTCGATGTTTTAAAAAATAATTTTAAGGAATTCAGCGACGTGGATTAAAAAATATTTTTAATAATTTTTTAAAAAATTAACGTGGATTAAAAAAAATATTTTTTCTTAACTTAGAACAGTGTTGGCATGTTTGTTTGGGATACCGTAGTATTTTGTTGTTGCAAAAATCGTCAGGCTTAATCCCATTGTTTTTATAAAACAACAATTGTATTATTATTATTTGTATTTTTTCATTTTTTTTTTTTTTTTAATTGACGTGGATTTAAAAAAATATTTTTTCAAATGTTTTAAAACAATATGTTTTAAAGAGCTCAATTGACGTGGATTAAAAAAAATATTTTTTTATAATTTTTTAAAAAATTGACGTGTATTTAAAAAAATATTTTTTTAATTTAAAAAAAAAAAAAACATGTTTTATGGAGCTCAATTGACGTGGATTAAAAAAATATATTTTCATAATTTTTTTTTTAAATTGACGTGAATAAAAAAAAATATTTTGTAAAATTCCATAATCGTGGACTAGAATTTTTTTTTTTTCATAATTTCTTAAATTGTTTTCTTTTATTTATTTATATTTTTTAATTTTTCGTCTAATGTTCTTTAAAAATATTACTATGATATTACGACACATAAATGCCAGCCCTGTTATATCTATTTAAAATACAGATCAGTCAGTATTTTAAAGAAGTCCATCCATATCTCTCTATTGTGCGACCTTAAAGGCCTTCCAAGTCTGATTATTGAGTATGCCTCTACTTGTTTTGAATCAACTCAAAAAACGTATAAGGAAATGGAATTCTACAAATGGCAATTCATAATATTTTCATTTCCCCATCGAAGGACATTAAAATTATGACCGTGTTAATGGCCTCAGATGATGGTGGATATGTAAGGATAAGGATTTAAGTTGTGTGGAATTAAAGCATATAAATAAAAAAGTAATACTTTTTTCCTTTTCAAGCTGTTGCGAAAAACGGATATTTTTGTAATTTTATTTACAGAATACAATGTAATGTATATATGTATTGGTGTGTATGTGTGTAAACAATGCAAAGGATGTGAAGGATATTTACACATTCCCTTTAGAGTTAGTGTGTGTGAAACACTTAAACATAATTTAAGTTATTGGTGTCACCACGTTGCTGAAATCACAGTGGCTTGGGGATGTGTTGAAGAGCTAACAAAATATCGATGGTCGCACTATTCGATATTTAAAAAAATCGAAACTTTTAAATATTTTTTATTATTAAATGTTCACATTTAAAAAGTAAAAAATAATTATATATATTTTAGAATTTAATATATAAAAAAAACAATTATATCAAATACCACAGAAGTATCAGCGCCCTAGAAAAAACCGAATTCCCTACCCAATACCAAAATCCTAAAATAATTTCCTTATTGCATAGCCAGGGTATTTGCAGTCATTTGCAATGCGTGCATTGTAAATATTTTAAGAGTTTTATTTTTTCGATTCATTTTTCAGTGGCATCAGAGCTCACGAGGCAACAGCCGCTTATTGACATAAGTAAACAGAATATAAATAAATATCAATTAAAACCGATTAAATAGCTGACGCAAGAACGATGTCATGACTTCTACTCTAATGGCAGAATGTGCACAGGCAATCTTCCTCCTTCTCTCCCACACATGCAAACGCAATATAAAATTTAAGATTGAAGTTGTCAGATATGATACCTCAAAAAATAGTTTTTTAAAAAATCCACGTCTTTATGATGGCTCAGAAAAATATATATATATTTTTTTTAAATCCACGCCTTTTGATGGCTCAAAAAAAATATTTTTTTAAAAATCCACGTTTTTTGATACCTCAAAAAAATATTTTTTTTAAAAATCCACGTTTTTTTTTTGATACCTCAAAAAATAGTTTTTTGAAAAATCCACGTCTTTATGATGGCTCAGAAAAATACTCTTTTTTTAAAATCCACGCCTTTTGATGGCTCAGAAAAATACTTTTTTTTAAAAAATTCAAGTCTTTTGGTGGCTCAAAAAAAAAATATTTTTTTTTTTAAATCCACGTCTTTTGATACCTCAAAAAATAGTTTTTTTTTTTTAAATCCACGTTTTTATGATGGCTCAGAAAAATAATTTTTTTAAATTCACGCCTTTTGATGGCTCAAAAAAAATATTTTTTTTTAAAAAATCCGAGTCAGTTTATACTTTGAAAAAATATTTTTTAAAAAAATCCAAGTCTGCTAAAATGTGGAAAAAATATTTTCAAAAAATCCACGTCTGCTAAAATTTGAAAAAATATTTTAAAAAAATCCATGTCTGTTAAAATGTGGAAAAAATATATTTAAAAAATCCAAGTCTGTTGATAATTCGAAAAAAAAAATTTAAAAATATCCACGTCAGCGGAAACGTAGGAAAAATATTTTTAAAAAATCCGCGTCTGTTACTACTTTGAAAAATTATTTTTAAAAAATTTGCGTCTGTTGCTACTTTGAAAAATTATTTTTTAAAAAATTTGCGTCTGTTGCTACTTTAAAAAATTATTTTTTAAAAAATCCACGTCTATTAAATTATGGAAAAAAATTTTTATAAAAAATCCGCGTCTGTTGCTACTTTGAAAAATTATTTTTTAAAAAATCCACGACTGTTGGTTCTTCTAAAAACGATTTTTTTTAAAAATCCACGACTGTTGGTTCTTCGAAAAAATATTTTTTAAAAAATCCACGTCTGCTGAAATGTGGAAAAATATTTTTAAAAAAAATCAACGTCTGCTGAAATGTGGAAATTTTTTTTTTAAATCCATGTCTGCTGAAATGTGGAAAAAAATTTTTTTTTTTTTTTTTAATCCATGTCTGCTGAAATGTGGAAAAAATATTTTTTTAATAATATCAACGTCTGCTGAATGGTGGAAAAAATATTTTTAAAAAATCCACGATGCTGAAATGTGGAAAAAATATTTTTAAAAAAAAATCCTGAAATGTGGAAAAAATATTTTTAAAAAAAACCCTGAAATGTGGAAAAAATATCTTTTAAAAACAAATCCCTGAAATGTGGAAAAAATATTTAAAAAAAAAATCCTGAAATGTGGAAAAAATATTTTTTTAAAAAACCCTGAAATGTGGAAAAAATATTTTTTAACAAATCCACGTCTGTTAAATTATGGATTCAGATTTGCAACGATATATGGTAGAAAAAAGGGTGAAGAGGGTCTCCTTTAAGAGTTTCAACGAGAGAAAAAGGAATGCCAGGAAGTAATCTCCTATACCGAAGGGGCAGGTGGCAAGTGAGGAAAAAAATGTGCCACAGAACAAGGAGTTTTCGAAATATTTTTATGAAACTTGCAATAATTTGCAGGGTTAGACGTTTTTATATATTTATTTACCTTCCAAATATCTTTACCACAGGTCAGTAGATAATTTATAGGGATTCAGCCAAAGCGTCGTCGCAATAGTACAGTAATTACCGGTTTGACATCGCTATGTAGTGTAGCTTCACCTCAAATGCGGTGAAATGTAGATGGCGCTAAATACCCGGTAGCATATATACAAACCACCAAACTGACTTTTATGAGATTAATGAAATTTGCAACAAAAAAAAAAATGAATTTTCAATATCTTTATCATAGGTCAGTAGGAAATATATGGGGATTCAGCCAAAGCGCCGTTACAGTAGTTCATAAATTATAGCTATGACAGAAGTTTGTAGTGCAGCCTCGTCTCAAATGTTCGGTAGCGTAGATGCAAACCCATTGTGGTTATAAGTAATGGTGGAAACTTAAGGTAGATTGAAGATGGAAAGGGGTGTTATTCAATGAAATGTAGATGTCGCCGAGTGTCTAGTAGCATAGACACAAAATTCAAGAGAATAAGCCGATTTTTCGTAGATCGACTGCAAATCGAATTTCGATTTTTGCTTTTCAAGGCGTAGGTCGGAGTCTTCGACTTAAAATACCGATTCTGAACTCGTCTGCGTCTGCAATGCTCATCTCCAAAGCTTTCGTCGAAACTTAAAATTGGCAAATTGTTGAATATCTCTTTTTCTTCTTTTGGAGAAGAAATCTTTCTAGTCTTCTATAAAAAAGAGCACCTAGCCCGCTGTGTGGGTCAAATGCTTGATCTCCATTTAGAGAAGTCACCCATTTCATCCACAACAATAATTTTATTTATCTCTCCCTCTCCTTGCCATTCGCTTCCTCAATTATATAATTAATTTCATTGGATTATCGCTGGCATTGACAATTCCAGAAAAATAAATAACCAAAAGATTGTAAATGGAATTTCAATGTTGTTATTCATTTCACCATAACTACAGATTGGCGAAACGGTAATCATGACAAATTTTCACGAAAATGCTTAAATTTGTGCGAAGGAGAAATGTAAATTTTCACAAATTGATTTATCTACGAAAAACCAACAACAAACGGCCTTAATGAAGACTTAACGAAAATTGCTGGAAATTGAATATTTTTTTGAGCCTTGAGATATGCAATATTTAATGGTGTTATTTTTTGTAGTTTTTTTGCCTTTGTTTTTTTAAATGAATGCGTATGTATGTATTTGTGTGTGTGGGTGTATAAGTTTGCTTATTCATTGAATAAAGCTGCAATTAACCCTGCAGCGAGCAGCTTTAGTAAAATTGTAGTGTTTTACTGGTGACATTGTCGCTAGTACTAGTGAAAAAGTATACCACAACCAATGTAATTTCCTATGGACATTTAACATAGGCTTGTCATAGGAGAAGTACCAGTAGACCTTGACTATATTGACTAAGTAGTTCTTTTGGGACTATATGGTGACATTTGAACCAAATAGTCACTAGAAAAAGATTATATCTTTTGAGATTATGTGATGACGTGTATACCAAATAATCACTACATTATATTGGGTTTCCTGAGCTATATGTAGACATTTGAACCAAATAATCACTAGAAAAAGATTAGATCTTTTAAGTTTATATGGTGACGTTTGAACCAAATAATCACTGCATTTTATTGGGTATCCTGAGCTATATGTAGACATTTGAACCAAATAAACACTAGAAGACCATTAGTCCTTTCGAGATCATATGGAGGCATTCGAACCAAATAGTCATTTGAGATTTTTAGGAAAATGCTTGTAATAGAATAAGTATTTAACAACGTTACATTTTTAACGCAGTTATTAAGTAACAAAAACAAAAGTAAAGCACAGTTCAATCTACACACAATATATTTAATTAATCTAAAACAGTCTGCGAATTTTAGGCAAGGTAATAAATTAAGAAATGGATTACATATATAGCTCACTTTTTTCAAGGCTGGCCAAACCTTGTCTTATTTTTAATAAAACTGAATAGAGTTAGAACTAGGATTTTAAAATTATATAGTATAACATAAAAACATTCAGTTAAATTTGTGGTTCTTCATCATTTTCATCTTGTTCCTTTTCTTCGGTGCGCCTGCTTCGTTTGTTGATCTTAAAATACTTTTTCTTTTGGCGTTGGAACGCTGCTCGTAAAGTCTTGTCAGGTAATTTATTAAATGTTGATATAACTTCTGTTTTATAAACTATATTTTAGCATTACTTATTTGAAACAAAAACAAACACGTTTTACCTATTATGGCGGCAAGTACATTACCAAAATCTCGTAGACCTTTTTTCCCGAAAGTTCCGTCAACATTAAAATCCATAATAATATTTCTTCCAAATACTTTATGCAAATTACGTTCAGCGTTACCTGCAATGAGATTTTTCATTTGTCGAGTCTGCAATTGTAAAAATTGTTTTAGTTATGAATTTGTTATTCCCAAAACGCAGATACGTACATATAGATCTGCTTGTGTTGCGAGAATTCGATCAAATTCTCGAAGTTTTTCTTCCGATTCAATTGGAAAAATTGTCATAATATTGTCCACAAATGCGTTCTGAGAAATAACACGATCCAGTAAAACTTTATGCTCCGCCAAAATATCAATAATCGTGTCTAGTTTTCTGGCATTTTCTTGGCAGGAAGAACATTTTGCATTAGCTATCAAAAATATGAACTCAATTTTGTTATACTGTTAAAAATTTAGTGATAATCTTTGGAGATTACCTTGTGGAGCAAAATATTTCATTTTTCCTTTGGAAGGGTTGGCATTTTCGTTCGACATGTTTATGTGCGGGAGTTGTGTACTTAGGAGGTAAAAATTTGTGCTTGATATTTCTCTGGAAAGCAGGAATGTAAAATGGGCACGATTACAAAATCAGAATCAATTGGCAAGCATACAAATTTGAACTGAATGTCTTTAATACAAAATGTCTCTTTTTCCCCTAGAGTCAGATTCGTTTTGAAAATACCAATCTCACAAGAATTCACCGGTTCTTCGTAGAAACTTTCTAATGCCAAAATTCGACTGCCTTCAATATATATTTCGCCCTTTTTCTTTATATTATCAATTTTTATTGGAATGCATGAATTCACCGCGCAAATATTATCTGGTTCTTTGCAGGATATGTAGCAATCATTTACAAAAGCTCCAACGATAACACCTTTTTCATATTTTAACCCATCCTGAATAGTGTTGACAATCATGCAATTTTTTTCCTTTTGAATAATTTGTTGAAAGATATGTGATGGTTTTCGAACATGTTTTTTCAGTGTTTGCAGTTTATTTTCAAATGCATATGCAGAAAACGAAATAAGGGGACCATACTTTTCTGCGCAAGAAGCCAAATGAAGCAGATTATGAACGTTAAAAGAAATGCTGTTCGAACCAAATACAGTTGAGAAGTTCTCGACAAATAATTGAAGCAAATTATTAGCTTGAACAATATTTTGATCCATATGTCGTGCATTGTTAAGAAGTCGATAAGCACAATGTAAAGTTAAAAATTCATAATAAATATCTTCGTGTACATTATTATAAAGAGCAATAATTCCTGTATAAGCAAGGAACTGGTGAAATTCAGTCGCTTTCCAATGACAAAGATCATCTAAAGGCCTGGGTTTTCTTGGGAATTCCCTTGGAATGTATTTTTTAAATTTCACCAATTCAGAAGATATTTTTGAAATATTTTGTTTTGAGGTTTTCTTTTCAGTTTTATTATGCATTATTCTGGTTAGCATTTTTTTGGTGACTCCGAGGTCAATGAGATGCATGCTATCTAAAGGAGTCTGATTTATCATACCAAATCCAATTTCTTCGAGAGGAGTTTTTTCTTCTTTGAACATTTGGGAATGGTGGCATGGATACTTTCGCACAGCAAAGTCCTCATCGGAGATTAGGGAACCACTCTCGCTACTATAAGTCAAGACATTGTTTACCTTCTTCGCAATTTGAGTACACTTGGTGCAGCCATGTGTTGATGTATGTCCAGGAACTCCACAAACGAAAGCTTTTGCTGGTGCGTCACATATTAAGCAACGAAACTTCAATTTTAAATGTTTTTGTTGTATGATAAACTGACCTTTTAGTAGAATCACTTCATCAATGAAGTCTTTCAAATACACATTCACACTACCCGGCTTGGTGTTTCCCAAGTATAATCCAACAACAAACGGTTTTGTTTTCTCCTGAATATTAACGATTCTGCAAAGGATTGGCCACAATTGCACACGAGAGCTTTTGAACAGTGGAATTCCATCGATATTTATATCTAGTTCGACTTCCTCATACTTTTCCAAAATGTGACCAACTTTTCGTAGTTGTGTTTCTATGCCAATATGACAATAAATTCCAGGGGCAACATTTCTCGTTAACATATTTTTTGCTCTGCCCACCAAAGTCTCTCTAGTGAGCGGAACATCTAGACCTTCTTCCTTTAATATTGATAAAAGACTTTCCAAACATTTCTTTGAAGGATTCGTTTCCATGCACCACTTTTTAAGTTTGTCCCGCAACATTAATTTCGGAACTGCAAAATCTTCCATTCCATTTTCCACGAAATCATTTATAAAATCTCCACCGTTTGACACAAATTCACTTTCACTATTTTCTTGTTCACATTGCAAACTTCTGTTTTTATACAATATTTTTTGTTTTTTAATTAATCTTTTATAATTTCTTTTACTCATTTTGTTTATATATTTAATAAATAATCACCTTTTTAACAATAAAACACACAAAACAAATTAATTGCCGATAAAAACGCGTTGTTTCGATGCGATCTACAAAAAAATTACATAAAAATGTGTATATATTCAATATGTTTTAATGACAATAAAAGAAAAGCCAACTGTCGACATTGTCAGTAGAAATACACTACAATCAGTGTCCCAAACCAAACTCTACTCGTAAATTGTTGAAATTTGAACTAGTACAATTGTCTGTAGAAATAAAGTGGTAATATAAGATACATGGTTCTTTGCTCGCAGCAGGGAAGGTATTAATTTAATGTAAAATATGGCTCATTATACACATGGACATGATCAGGATAAAATTGAAAACAAAAAACGAACACATAAACAAATACCGAAAATTAAAAATAAAAAAATATAATGGCATGGAAAATATTTTTTTATCTTCCATTTTTTAATGAATGCTTATTTAATTAATCGACGTGACATGAAAATAACAGACTTAACGAATATTTTTACAATTGTAATTAATTAATGGAATGAGATGAAAAAATAACCAGAACCAACTACAAATATGTTATTAAGGCTTCAATGGATATGATGGCCTGATTGGTAACAGGTAACCACGAAAAATATATTTCCAAGAAAATGTCGAGGATGATGCCCCATAAATGATATGTCCACGAAGATACCAGGAGATACAGGGTGAGATGAAAGAACTGCAACCAATTTTAGACTGCTGTCATTTCTAAGCCACTCATCCGACAGCTGTTAAAATTATTTCAGTGACAGCTCATTATATTGTCTGCAAGCCTACAAAAGCGTTTTTGTGAGAATTTTCCGGAAAAACAATTATTCGTGATGGAATTCAAGCGTGATAGTATGATTTCGTTATATTTGGCCGGAAAACCAAAAATGGCTATCGCTCCAGCATTTAAATGTGAATAAATATTTTGTGTCTCGTATCATCACTCGTTACCGTGATAGCGTATCCCTATGTCAAGCAAGTGGACGGAAGAAAATAGCAACATCAGCAGAAATGGTTCGAAAAGTAAAGAAGCGACTTGATCGAAACTCGCGTCGCAGTGGCCGAGAAATGGCTCGTGAGCTGAACATATCACAATATTCAATTCGGCAAATATTGAAAAATGAGCTCGGGCTAAAGCCATTGAAAAGTGCAAGAACTTACACCGCAACAGAAAGAAAATAGGCTCGAAAGAGCTAAAGAGTTGCTTCGCTTGGCCGAAAGTGGTGAACTGCCGAAGTTGGTTTTCTCCTCCGATGAGAAAGCATTTGCTGCCCAGCAATTTGTAAATAAACAAAATGATCGTGTTTACCTGCCAAAGAGGTCACCTGAAAATGTTCACCTTCGGTTGGCCACCAGAGCTTAAGAGCCGGCCATGATGATGGTGTGAGCAGCCATAACAGCCGATGGTCGCTCTACGCTCGTATTAATCGACCGTGGCATCAGAATAAATGTCGTTTATTATCGCGAAAATATTGTGGAGGGTGTTTTAAAGCCTTGGGCCCGCAAACATTTTGGCCTTGGACATTCCAACAGAACTCAGCATCATCGATCGCACTCAGCACGCGCCACCCAAGAATGGTTACAAAATGAGGTTCCTCGCTTCATTTCCAGCGCACAATGGCCACCAAAATCTCCGGATACCAATCCGCTGGACTATTGTGTCTGAAATATTTTGGAAAGCAAGGTTGGCACTAAAAAATAGCAAAATGTCGATCACCTCAAGCCAGCGCTTCGCCCGGAATGGGCCAAAATGCCGCAGAGCAACATTCGGGCAGCGTGTGACGGTTCCATTGGCCGTTCTTAAATTTAATGCTATTTCTGCCATTTTTTTCATTCATTCAATAACATTTAAAAAAAATGTAAAAATTATGACTTTTGACTTTGTTGCAGTTTTTTTTATCTCACTCTGTATAATTCTAATATTATGTGTATACAAGCCTTAAGATCATCATATGCCCATCTTTGGGTCATATATTTGCCAATTTATTTTCTCTCTTTAAATACTTTGTCGTTCTCTCATTCTCTTCTACAATTTTTATTACCTTTGCTTCATAGAGTCCTGGTGACCATTTTGCCTTCCATTGATTTATTTTCCTTCTGTTTTGTTCACAAATGACATTTTGGTTTTTGTGGTTTACATTGAGGTACTTATGAAACCTCTGGTACTTTACCTTACAGACCATGTTCTACATTCTTCATCTCGTCGATTATCGACTAGAATTGCTAAAATAATCAATTTACCTTCCTGATGTGTCCCAAGCACCCTTGGTGGTCAGTTGATTGATGAAAGCTATCTTAAGTACCATAGACACACACATATAAGTATTTGCTTACACTTACTATTGAACTACACAACTACAGTTTTAGGTTTAACAGAGAATTTCCTAATTAATGTTAATGGTTTTCTCTGAGAAAGAGATAGGACAATGGAGAGGGTATGCAAAGAGACAAACATGTTCTATTGGCTTACAATCAAATGGAGTATCTAGTGTGTACTAAAATACGTACGAATTATGGAGAGAAGGAGCAGGTGGTTTATATAAAAAATACATTTTCTGAAACAACATAATTTTATTTAAGTTTTCTTTATTATATATTATTATTATTATTATTATTATTATTATAATTATTATTATTATTATTATTATTATTATTATTATTATTATTATTATTATTATTATTATTATTATTATTATTATTATTAGTATTTTTATTATTGTTATTGAAGAATTCAAAATATATTTTATTTTTAGGATATAAAAAATTATTTCTTCATTTTTTCAAAGAACATAGAATATTTTAAAAATGCTTTTATTTTGGATGTTAAGCATAAAATTTCACAAAAGATTTTAAGAAGCGTTGATTTTTTAATTTTTATAAAAATATTAAAGAACAATTAAAATAGAACATTACTTATGACGTGCATTTTTTAGATTTTTTTTTTTTTTTTTTTTTTTTTTTTTTTTCAAAGACTTTATGTGGATTCAAAATAAATAAAAATAAAGCAATTTAAATAAAGTGAATGTCTTTACATATTAAAAATAAATAATCTAACTAAAATATTTCAAATAAAGTAGATTTAAAAAAAAAATGATTTATCACGGATATTGAGCAACGTGGGTTTCCTTTAAATTTTTACACCAGATTTTAATAGGCGTTAAATTTTTAAATTTTGCAAAAGATTTTAAGAAACGTTGACGTTTTTAAAATTATTTTTTAGGGTGAATTATTTAAAAGAAAAATTAAAAACGTGTATTTTCCAAAAAAAAAAAAAAAAAAAAAAATATTTTCAAAGAAATTTAAAGAATTTAAATAACGTGGATTTCTGTAAATATTTTTCAAGATTTTTACCAACTTTTATTTCCAAATGGGTCATTTTGGAAGGATTGCAGTGTATGCTATATTAAAGTATAAGTTATACGGGCTCCTAAAATTGACATTTTTTGACTGTTTGGGTGTTTTATAAAAAAATGGTGTCCAAAAAATCGATATTTCTTGTATAACTGCCTAATCGTTTTAAATAATATAATCACTGCTGGATAGGTATTTTCATTAGCTTTTAAAAATGGTCAAATTATGATATTGTCTTTATCGTAGTAGATCCGTATGTAACCCGGATCTTGGACACGGACTATTAGATCAAATAAACTGTTATCGGGAAAGAAAAAAAAATTCGGAGTCAGGATACAAATACTTAACTCTGGAAAAAAAAATCAAAATCGAGAACTTTTACTAAGCTGGATTTTAAACCACCACGGATGTACAATCCATCTGTAATCAACGAATTTCCTCTGGAAAGATTTAAACTGGCCGATGGACCAGACTTCTTTCTTAGTGTTTGTTTTCTCTTTCTTAGTTGTTTTTAATACTGCGATTTAAACAAAAAAAAAAAAAAAAAAAAACAACTAAAACTTCTTAACAAGTATACACAATCGAACACTACATTTCTCTAATGAACGAGCAATGGCTCTTCTCCCAATTATAAGTAACACTTGCTAAATGCGCAAATATTCTCTAACATATAAAGGACACTGCCATACTTCAATTATCAATAGCACGGATGATCCACGGGCAATATTTCACTCCAGCTGCTTATTCGTTTCTGACAAAATGTGCAAATCATCAAATTCTACACTAGGTGATATGATCAGCAATGCTATTTCAAGAGTAATATTTGTTTTTTACTTATCCTTCACTTGTTAATGTATATTTCTCCAATCAAAAGAACATTTTTTGTTTATTAATAAAAAAAAAGTTTTTTAGTGAAGTTCCAATGAACTTTTCACTTTGTTTGCAAAAATATAATGACAACAAGTTTTTTTTCTTGCACTGGTGCTTTTTCTTATCGTAATAGTGTTTTGCACTCTCGAATTCCATTTACTTTAAAATTCACCACTCTCTTTCTCTATGTTATGGGATTGTTGCTATTCTTGCTCTATTCATATTTATGTTAATACAGGAGAGTCGCACATTTATATTCTCCTGATATTGTTGCTCTCTGATTACATTGTTTTTATATGGCCCTTAGTGGGAGTGTGGAGAAAATTACGCTCACTGAAGGCATGTGTGACTACCGGTTTATTTACAATTAGCATATTAAGAGAAAGAGAATAACGAACGATGGAAGAATAACAAGAACAGTGTTTATGTGGGGGGCATGCGTGACTACTCTTGCCTGTCCCTGTGCTAGTGACAATGGTATTGCAAACCAATGCCGGCTTATTTACAATTAGTATAAGAGAAAGGGAGTAAGAAAAGGGGAAAGAATAACAAGAAACTGTGTTTATGTGGGGTATGTTCAGTAAAAGGTAATTGGATGATGCTATAATGTTTCTCACATACACAAATGCTATTTCTAAAGAATATTTTCAAGGATTTTCAATAAATTGCATTAAAAAAGTCTTTTTTTTAAATTTTCTTTAAAATTATTTTAAAAAATATTTTGCAATTATTTTTAGCAACACAGATTTAAGAATAATATTTTATAATTCATTAAGAAAGTGGAGCTTGTTTAAAAAATGTTAAGAATTTCTTGAGAAAGATAATAACAAACGGGGGAAGATAACAAGAGACAGTGTTTATGTGGGGTATGTTCAGAAAAAGCTAAAGGGATGATGATATAACGTTTCTCACATACACAAATGCTATTTCTCAAAAAATATATATATTTTAAAATTTAATAATTTGCATTTAAAAAAAGGTTTTTTTATATTTTTTTCATTATTTTAAAAATATTTTGCAATTATTTTTAACAACACAGATTTAAAAA